TTACTTTCGCAGAGTTCTAGTGTTCCTCCACTCAGGTTTCCTCTGTGATGCTGCCTTGAACTTACAACACTAACCACCACGTTTAATTCTTCAGAGATTTCCAAGTAGATGACGAATACTATTTATCCTCTGTCTCCAGTAGGAGATATGAAGCTGAGTAATTCCCAGTGGAAGGTCATACATGAGCTCAGTTTTGTGAATCCATACTGAGTAATGCTCATAATATTTCTGCTAAGCATTTACAAGAGAATACTCCCCATCATAATTTTATTGCGTAATTGTGAACATTACATGGGTATCACTGGAGGTTTCCATTTGTGAGCCTAAAGACATAGAAAATATTTTAAGTACTGTTAAAGGAGTGACAGATCTATTATATTTATAGAAATGTGAGGATATATTGTCTATTTCAACACCAGTGCAATCCTTCAGAAGTTAAAGGGTCTCTTAATACTAATGGTTCTAATTTGTCTCACTGGACAAGAAGGATGATCAATATTACCAGAATATCGCATATCACAAAAAAGAGTTTTGCGATTAAGATAATTACCTAGGAATTTCTAATGTATTTTGGTGAAAGTTTCCCCAGTTTCGTACCGGCCTTTGGAGTAATAACTGGCCTTTTAAATTTATTGGTTTTTAATATTTTTGATAAAATGGCTGAATCTGAGCCGTTGTTATAGTTTTGTTAAGAGATACATGTAGCTGTCATGAGGCTATGGGTAGTAAATTGTGTTTCCAACTTAATGTATGCTATAACTGACCGCATAAGGCAACAGTTTATGGTTCTGTGGTTACTACGCGTTATTTGTTGTAGAATTTCAGCATTGACTGGAATGCTACTTGAATGAAATGGCATTAAGTAAAATACTCTTTTGCGGTTACTTCTTGAAAATACGTAGCCTACAAAGTTAGTGCACTGAATTATTTTGTTGCCATTGTCTAGTAAGTTACCGTCTCTTATAATGGTAATAACGACTTGTATTTCATAATGAATGAAAAAGAGAAAGATTTTGTTTCATTGGTGATTAGGTGTTTAATGTTAACAGCTTTCTCAAATTAATAGTAATCTAGAATTCACTAAATATCACCATATACATGTTAGCTGTAACACTTCAAGGCTTCAAGGTAGAGGTTTGAACTTTGAGTAGCAGTGGTACTTATTTTTACAAGATGAGGTTGCTAGCCTCGTTCATATTACTGGCTTAGCGAGGTAAAGGGGTGTGCCGGCTGGGGATCGAAACGCGGACCACATGCGTGGTTGGCGAGCATTCTACCGCTGTACCACCGACGCATAACTGCAATATACTTTGACTTTATGAAATAACTCAGTGTTGTCCAGTGAGTTTATTAATAAAGATAGCAAGTATTTTTAGACCGTTTAATTAGGCAATTGTGAGAATTATAGAAACAGATTTTGTTTGCGTAGTGAAAAAATTTTCACAATATTTGTGTTTACAACGTTCATATGCGGGAGGTCAGAATTTGTCCTAAATAGTCATTCCTGTTTACATAATTTTGATTCCGCGTTATGTAAAGTGCATCTGCTAGGAGTTATTTATGATTGTTAAGAGTTTTCTTTATTATTTCAATATAGTCAAAGTCAGCCTTGCGACTTAACTGTACTGGGAGTAAAACAGTATCATAAGGTCTTCAAACTTTTGAAATTCTGCTTTATTTGCTTACAGTGGAATAGATCTGCGTTGTTCCTTTTCATGTTAATTTCTTTAGAAGGTTGCTGGGTGTATACTGTATCAAAGTTTCATCATTTTAATTCATAGACGCAGTTACAGTGTAGATCCTTAAGGGTTTAGTTGTGTCGCCGAAACGTTACACTAAAAAAGTCTTTTTACTTATTTATTTTATTCCTTTACATACCTAATGGAAAATAGGGACTCAAGTTACAGCTTTGAAGTGACGCTTTTTTACGGGATCGCATTGCTAGCCCCACTCCCAACCTTCTATCTTTACCAGGCTTACTACCGGTTAAGCGAGGTAAAGAAGTACGTCAACTGGGAATCGAAACCCGGACGACTTGCTTGGTCATCCACTGTTCTACCACTGAACTAAACCAATCTTATTAAACACAATGTTCTCGAGTATCCACTTAGGCAGCGCATTAGCTAACTTTCACGTACTGATAACAAAGCAAGAATAAAAAAGGCCCAGTCATTTAAATGCACGTTCTGATGGATAACAGAGAATAAAGTAGGATAAATGTTAAGATTATTTGAGGAATTTATTTAGTTGGTGTGGCTGAGCTACTCTGAGCACAAAATGAAGCGCGAAAATGACGTCTGAGCGTAGTTAGATGAGTAGCTACTAAAACGAAACTCGAAACAACTAAAGCATCTGTAGATAGTTTAGTATTCTGTTAGGTTCATATCGAGTTAATTCAGTTTGGTGTACGCGTTTTAAGGCTACGTGTATTTTGGTTTTGTGAAAGGTGCTGTACAATGCCTCCGTATTTTGTGTTTCACAACGATATACAGTGTTATGATGACATAAACAGTGCTAAAATTCACTTTTCTGAATAATTTTTCTTTTGAACCATCTGACAACAGTATACTTGATAAACATTTTTATTCTAAAGCTTTAGGAATGATATAAATTATTCTTCAATCATTATAGACTTTCAGTGACCTGACTAGGTTAACAGAAGTGAAAACTTAGCGAATCATAAGTTAACTATTTAAACTCAACATAACTATTACATGAAGCCTTTCGACGTAGATTGTTTCCTTGTAGTATTAATCTATATAATATATATACATATAATATATATATAAAAAGGCAATTCTAACAGACTTACAGTAAGTTATCAACATTCTGGTTTGGGAGTTTCTTGCATTTTTAACAGTTAACTTGTGTATATTATGTGTCTGATATGAAATATGAAAAGTGACCATTACTTGCTGTTAAGTCATAATATCTGCAGCAGTTCGTTTAGTGACACAGGTCATTTTTGCGAAAGAATACAGTTTTAGTGAATGATCTTCACAGCGGTCTGTGTCGATACATTGAGATATCAATGGTACTAATGGTGGAATTTATGGCTAAAACATCAAAGAATATTACTTCTGTTTACAGTAGACATTTATGACTTTGAAATGACCGAATTAAAACTTTGTTTTGTGTGCTGCACACTTAAATTCTATTCAAGTTTTTTTCATGTGTCTGATATAATTTTGTAGGAAATTGTTTTATCAGTTATCCTGACCACACTTTTCTCATTGAATTTTGAGGAACACTGACTTTTAGTTCTGCCTATTACTGTGAAGTAAATAACGCAGAAGTGTAAGTATGAATGCTTTTAACAGTTAACCGATCTTAAATAAAACAAGTTGATCTAAGTTGACTGTCGAAATAATGATGCACACATTAGTCCGAATACTGTTTTAATTATATATGACGTATTTCCACGACATTCATGAGACTTTTGACGATTGAAAGCATGAATTAAAAAAAATTGTATTTTAAGTCAGTCTATAGGAGAACACTTAATCTTATCACAGCGATATTATCATTAGTGGAACACTTGTTATCAGCCATATTTATGCAAGTAATTTGTATGTTCTTTATGGGTACTAGGCCAAATGATGTGTTGTTTTAGAACAAGAAGTAAAAAGAAGCATGATTTAATGGTCATTGAGGTGTTCTGAATTGATCAGGATCCTTAGGATGTTATTTCATAGTAATATATGCCCAACTTATTTGAAAATTAATATTGACGTGCTGACATGGAAGTGTTTCGAAGAATTTCTTGTTTAACCGTTCACCTCATCCATTAGTTTTTGGTAGAACTTTTCAGATGAATACTTTACAAGCTGTGATATATATATGCCTACTGTTAGAAATGTATCAGTATCATTCAGTTTGCCATCCCTGATATTTCCAGATTGTTTCTCTACTAACCAGCCGTTTACCAAAGTCATTTTACTGAATCTTGATCTATTATGATCTGAATTTTGGTCTCTTGTACTCCTTTCCCCTTACCAATTTGATAATGGCCCGTAAAACACTAGTAATAGTCTTTTTCACGATTGATTTACTTTAGTTTATTTATCAGTCAGAAACCTCCCAATGTATTTTGATATTATATATATATGTATATATCACTATGTTGAGTATTCAACTGAAGATTTCTACCAAAATCTGATGAATTCATTAAATACTAAGAGGATAATAAAATACTTCACTATAGTGAATCGGAATATATAAGGTGTCCATAATGGTTTTTTAAGTTCAATGACGTTAGAGGGACAGTTATAACTCGTTGGTTTTAAGCAATATCTATTAAGATTTAATTTAGCTTTTTATTATTAAACAGAATTTGAAAAATGTAAAGTCGGTAGCTTGTTTCATAGTCATGTACTTTAAATCTGTCTCCGAGTGACTGAGCGTGATATTTATGTCTTAGTTTGTGCAAAAGATGTATATACTGAATAGATAAATATGAGTAACCAGTGGCATACTTTGAGCGTCTATAGGGTAAACTTCAATCATCTTGTTACATACACAAAAGGCTTGGCGTCTGGCCATGCAAAATATTTAATCAATATTACCGGAAGATATAACTAATATCTATCCACCCACACATTCACAAATGCAAGTTTCACGATGTTTTATGTCTCTCACTCTCAGTTTTTCTATCTCTTTCTCTCGCCTTCTCAGTGTATCTATCTTTTTGTCCAGTTTTTTTACAGCTAACCAGCGTGATTGAGTTTGTATCTCACATACTTTATAAAATTTCATTGTAAATTTAACTAGGTCACTTAAAAAACAATGAAAATCTATACGGCTCGTACATATAAAAACCAAATTCTAGAAAGCTGATTAATTTACACGCTAGTCACACAATCTTTTGTATTCACACATTCTTATTCACAGTCTAGAAAACATCGCTGAGTTATTGTTATCTGGCTTTGATTTAATTTGTGTCTGAAAGTTAACAAAACATTGTAAATAAACAAACGTCAGTTTATAATCGACGCATCAATATGCCAATTGGTAAATCAAATAAAAATCAGAATATGCGAAATGCTAAATCGGACAGTGCACTTCAACAACCAGAATATGATCCGAAAACAAACCAGAAAATTATACACAGATGTGTTGTATGCGCTTTCGACAGAACTTTAGTCGATAATTCACAACCAATCCAACAAGATAAACTCAGTGATTTATTAGTTTCACACCTGAACAAACGAAGAAGTCATAAAGCTCGACTACTTTGCCTACAAGATCATTTGGCGTTTCAAAAGAAAAGTTTCTTATCGAAATCGCTATTTCATGATAAGGTAATGTATAAAGACATTGAACATTATTTTCTTTGTTCCGAATACCCAAATATATTTATGTTATCTCTGAAGTCAGAAATACCAGGATCAAGTTATTATGAAACGTATAAGTGTAAAGATGTTGAAGACGCCAAGCGTTTGTGTGATATGGTATATCAAGCTTGTCAGCAACCTGATAAAACAATACACGATATACCACCCGTTTCTCATACACGATCATTAGATGTTTCTTCATTGAAGTCAAAATCACTATCGCATATTGATACACAGACTAGTTCTGATGTAGTCAATAAAGCTTCACTTAATCGATCATTATCGCAGAGTTTAAATGAAGGTTGGGCAACACCAAAATTACACGATGATTCACCCATTCAGTCACCATTACAATCATCAATGCATTCGCCACTTCGTTCACCATTACTGTCATACCAGTCACCTGTCCCAACACCGATTAATCAGGATTCTATGATAAAACCACTAATGGTAACACCTGTCAACACAGATAATACTGCAGCTTATGTTTCTGGTGAAGTTGATGCTGTTGATATGAAGAAAAATACAACATATTTTGATTATGATCCAGTTCATGGACCACAGATCAATGAAGTTGGACCGATCTACATGTTTATGGTGAGACATCCATCACAACATGACATGCTGAATCTGATGAATGAACCATAGTTTCTGGAGGCAACTGATAAAATAAATGTCAGGATTCAACTTTAAAGGTGTTACTTTATAGGTTTAACAGAACTGAGTGTCGAAAAGTTTGAAGTTTGAAAGAAATACGTTCACCTTTATGTCAGTGGAAACTAATTACTTAAGCTTTTTAAAGGTAATATGACATGTATTGCGTGTTTAATTCTCTGCTTTGATTTTGTTTTTGCCTGCTTTGTTTCCAAATGTTATTTCGTGTTTTCTTTTGTTACAAAAATTAAATTTGAGAATTTTATTAAACTATACACTTTAAGACTTTATAAAAATTGTTTATTTGACGTAATTATTCTTATTGTTAGATTTAGTAAAATATATAACGTTTATAAATTTTTCCACTATCTGATTTATTTCGTTAAGAGGTGGTGTAATGTTCACGTGTAAAGATGTAAGTTTAGGGAAGAAATTAGTCTTTTGTATACATGAATGACGGTAGTGAGATACATTGATACGATTTCAGGCTACGATTTATTCAAGATGGTAGGGAATCAAAATTAGTCGAATTAGATATACTCAAGAAATGTTAGAATTTGTTTCACTTATAATAATGTGCATGTTCGCGTAGCAGCTGTTAGCCTATAAACTGGTGTTTCACTTAATCTGTTGTGTGGTATCTAGTAATACTAACTGGCTGTCGGGCTCTACCCAGATTACGGGGATTTTGAGCATTGAAACTTCTGGTATTTAACAAAATTCAGCTCTTAATGAGGAGACAAACGTTTTTTAAATTACAAATTTATGCCTGGTTAAACTACCGTTACGTCTAAGTATTACTTACATCGATAACTGATAGACTAGTAAGAATACTTTTCATCTGCCTATAATGGGTCATCTGGAATAATATCAGTGTCATCGATCAATTCAGAGATTTTTCTAATACATCTTTTATAATACCAAGATAAGTGTGAGCAATTAAATTTGCCACTAAACGTAACTTCCGATGAAGTGTTTGCATTAAGTCATGGAAAAGTATAAACTATGCGGTTTTTATTCTGAAAATTAATATGGAGCCATATGGAGAATAGAATTTTAAGGAATCCTAGCATAGTTTATTAAAGGTTTCCAGAAGAATGCTGAGTTTGGTAGACGTGAGTTTTGACTATCCTTCAGTCTTCTACAAATTCAAATGTTTTATTGGTTTATATTATTTATTACCATTATCTAGAATAAAAGCATTTCAGTACTATACGCCATCCATGACTTACTAAATTAAATGTGCGGTCTAGAAATATTAAATGACTAGCTTCATTTTCAGTTGAAAAAGATTATTTTTAATAAGTGATAGATACCGCTCGTAGCTGTCGAAGAACATGAAAGTAGTAGATAATTACCGTTCTGAAGTATTAGCAAATTTCGTGTTCTCATCATTCATGAGAATACAGTCAGATACTAAGTGCTTCGTTTAATGTTTAGAAAGAAACCAGATAGTATTGTGTTATCTATTTCATACCGTAAAATGAAGACTGGATGTTCAGTCTTCTGAGCTGTGGTTAGCTATTAATAGTGTCTGAGGCTGTCAACGCGATATGTAAGTCACTAGGCATGTACATACAAAAGGGTAATCTTATTTCTTAAATGAATTCATAAACTTCTTACATATTATTTCAGGTATTTTGATATCCATCAGGTTACGTAATGGGTGAAAACGAATTTCGAAATACACAAACGTTCTTATAAAATATTATTTGATAGTGGATTGTGGCAATTTCTTATTTCGAAGTAAGTAATCGAATAAACCATAGTTGTCATTCTAAAATTGATGCGAAGTGATAAATGTTACGAGGAATGATATTTATTCAGGCAACTAGGTAGCTGGTAAGGAGATTTCACTACTCTTATTTATGCTGATGTGGAAAATGGAACTGCGAAGATATACAGCAGTTGAGTGTGAGCCAAAGTTTGACGATACAAACCCTGGCAAAAAGTTTTTCAGTTAATTCTGAAATACCTAATTTTATGTAGATGAACTGATGATTTATTAAGCAATTAAGTTGTATTTAGCAAGGGATGGTGGCCACAGACAGCAGTGATACTAAGTTCTTTTAGTCATAAATGCAGTAAAAAATATCGAACAAGTTATTTAGGTGAGTAATGATATTTCCTGATGAACATTCTTAAGCTTTATTCAAATGAAGAATAAACTGTATGGCCCTTATTATGGAAACTAGAGAGCACAGTTTGGGCAAGTCTGTATTTTTAGTTATTTCAAATTAAGTTTTTACATTTACCCTCGTACACATAATCTCCTTATACGTCTACAGTAACTGACTACTTAGCACTTGCATTGAAAATGTTATTAATTATTATCATGATTGCAAGCATCAGTCCACCTATTTGGGCTCTCCTTCTACTGACTACATTAGTATCGAATACCTATAATGAATAATTGTCATGTGTAGTTGGAAACTGTGATGAGAGATAAGCTCACATACAGACATTTGTTTAATTGAACAGACTGAAAAAATAGTTAAATCTGATATGCTAGATATATACACTGCTGTTTTTATTGTTACAGACTCCCAGTTAACCAGAAGTGAGGCTAAATCGGGTCAGTAGGTCACACATTTAACCAATTGCCAGTTCGAAGAAGTATTTTCATGTGAGTCGTTATACCTGATTCCAACAATTTTTAAGTTTCTTAACTGCTGCTTAAAGCAGACACATTTATGAATGTTTGAAAAAGCTTTGAGCAAAATTTAACTCAACTTCATGGGAAGTAAACATATAAATATGAATTGGCTAAGTTTAAACTTTCTGACACATCACACAAGTGGTCTGCTTGTTAACTAAATATGGGTTATGGGCAACGTAGCTGTCTGGAAAACCAGTTATAGCATTAATTAATGATACTCAAAAATTTAAACAGTAAAGAAGACACTTATGTTCAAACAATACTGTAATAAGTTTTACTTGAGGATTGCAAGTAGACACAAAGCATGTTAAATGGTGGCATAACATACATCACTGTATTAAATGCTGCAGAAGTCAACTTCAGGGAAATTTAAACGCAGACAGTGTTCTGAAATAAAGAAAATGTTTAATTATCAAGTATTGATTTTGTAGGGATTTTGTTTGATTGGTTGGAGGATTTCATCTCGAGCTCACATCAATTAGAGAACCACTGGGAAACCTAGTAGTACTGCACAGCCGTTTCGTCCTGGTTTGGGACCCTTCAGGAGTATTCACCGACCGGCGTTCGAACCCAGGACCCTCTAGTTACAAGGCGACCTCGTAGACTATTAAACCACTGGGAACCAATCCAATGGCCCATGAATTCCAACTTCTGCCAACTGACGATATAGCTCATCGGCTAGTGTCTGTGTTCACAACCGACCTGCTATACTCTACTGGTCATGGCTTCTCACTAGAACCCCGGGTAACTGCCTGAATAGGGCCAGTCGCTACTGAGCATCAGACCACTTTTCAAGTATTGGTTTTGTAGGCATTTTGTTTGATTGGTTGAAGGATTTCATCACGTGCTGACATCAATTAGAGAACCATAGGGAGTTTTCACCATGGTGTGATTAAAATAGCATTTGGACCTAATAGATGTATGTAACTTACGTAACGCTACCAAATGCGAATCATAAAAATGTAAAATATGAAATCTTAATCAAATGAGAAGTCTAGAAAAACTCATATATGTGTATAAAGGGTATGGAACACTGAAAAAATACATTCGTGTGAAAAATAACAACCGTAAAAGCAACTCAAAGAGTACAGATATACTGAAAATCCCTTTTACTTTAAGGACTGATGCGAAGCATAAAAATGAATTTACTGTTTTACGAAACATAGATATTTTCTGAAATACTATCTCACAGTAATGCTGTCTTGCCACAAAATGAGTTCCATTTATATTATAATTTAGCAGATTAGTTTAATTTAACTTCGTTATAATTTCCCTAGTTTCAATTCAAAACGTAAAGTGAACAGAGAAAAATGAATCACATAAAACTTGTGACGTTTTCTATAACCAAAATGTCAACCAAATCCGGATTTAGGATCGCATAATTAAAAGACCAAGCTGATCTGAAAAATGGAATGTATCCGCGCCATACACTTCGAACAATCTGATCACACATTTACTTATCAAATCTATTTATATTTTACAAAAATGAAAGCCCAATAAAGTAGACAAAATTGTGAGGGATTTAAGAATCAGATGGACAATAATTAACACTGCCTTTGGTAATATGGTCAGATAAGGAATACCATGGCAGGTTAAAGGTAACAATAAATCTAGATCAACACACGTAAACGAAAAACATTGTTCACAATTAGATCTCATCAGGCTTTACTCTAGAATACATAACTTCACAGATATAAAGCAATCATGATGATTTTCAATAGGATGATAAGATAGTGTATAAAAATTGTTCCTTAAGTAATATTACTTCTAGTAACAATAATAATTCTACTGGTAAAAATGATGAAAAATTGAATGATTTGTGATAGGCAGGACAATGTAAAGCGGTATAACTCAACAAAAAATGTTCAGATACACGTAGCAGCAACAGGCTGGAGAAGAAACAAATAGTCAGATTGAATAGTGTCAAGGTGGTAAATAAACCATTTTTCTGTGCGTCGGTGGCACAGTGGTTAGGACTCTCGCCGACCATGCACATGGTCCGGGGTTCGATCCCCTGCCGGCGCACACCCGATATCTATGGTCAGCCTGTAAATTTGGGCTACCGATATCCACGCTGAAAATTCCATACTTGTACTGAAAATACGGTGTGGAATCAAGCTGCAATCGAAATAATAAAATAATAAATAAAATAATAGTAATATCGAATTTTATCTGGCGACCTCACCGATATGAATCTGTGCAATCTGGGTTTACAACCTTAAGAATCATTTGAAATCATTCTAGTTATTTCATGTTTCTGTAGTCATTTGTGACCGTGTGTAAAGAAAATAGGGTATTTCTGTGTCTTTTGAGAAGTTCAGTTTCCCATGAGATT